CATATATATGCACACCATGACTATATATGGGCATTTAACAGTTTTTTTTCAAAGAAAAATTGATAGTCTGGGCAAAGCATTAAACAATAAAGTACATTAATTGATGTGCTTAGTTTTATATAATAGTTACAGAAGAAAGACAGATAGATGCCTTACACTGCAATGTTAGTTAATTGCTTTCAAGCAAAATTATAGATAAGAAAATATTATTAACAAACTCATAAAAAAGACCGTTTCTATATGTTTTTGTTTACGTTTTTTAAGCCCAATACTGCAAGGTATTGCATGTTCTGATTTGTATGACATTAAATATTACATGGGACTCATGCTTAAAATTAATCAGGCTTTCTGTGATAATTCCTACCGAGATACCATCGTCTTCATATGAGGGAATACAAACCTTGCTAAAATTACAATTTAGGCCGTATACGCAGGTAGTGAAGATATATGCGTGAAGTGGACGATAACCTGTGGCCTGTTACCATGCCCACCGATCTTTGCTAAATATCTTGTGAGTGTTACAGGATCTGCAATGTCTGTTTTTCTTGAACACTGGACACTAAGCTCAACACAAACTGTTGTATGCCCATATATAGTCATGATGTGGCTATATATGGCCATGGTGTGATGTCATCATGACCATATTTAAACATGCCGCATTTTTTGTCAAAATAAATTTTATAGTGTGGACAGGATTTTACACAGATAGGCCTTCACACACGGACTTAATTGAGTCGTGGACGTGTGCTGAGCACCTCTTACCAAAGTGAATCGGTTATAAGTTGCACTTGATTAATAACACGATTGACCTCACTTTAGTGAAATGATTGACAGTCATTGGTTGATGTTCTCAGCATTTATCTATTATTGAAGGACATAACCATTGTAATAAAATTGTATATCTATATAAAATATAAGTAGCTCATATGTTTCAGCGAATGTACTTCTTTAAGCATCATTAATATAATGTATTTATCTAATTAGGTACAATTGACAGTGTAACTATACACCAATCCATCTGTCCTGTCGATTGGAATTACTATTCTGCCTGTAATTTGAGAAGCTTTAAAAAGAATAGAAAAAATAAAAAAATATAACTGCTAACAGTTTAAGTATTTGAAAAATATTTGATATTTGACATTCATACTTCAAAACAAATCACAATATGGGTAAAAAGACTGTGTGGTAAATCTAAAAATTATTTAAATATATAATTATTTAATATACTTAATTATTTAATTTTACCATCATTGATAAATTGCTACTTACAGGTACAAGAAATATATGTATATATATATGTATGGGTATATATATGTGTGTATATATGTGTGTGTATATATATGTGTGTGTGTGTGTGTATATATATATATACTTAGATTAAATAACCATGTACAAAAAGACCATAATCATTACCCCTAATAAAAATAAATTTCCCCAGTGTGTTTGTGATCTGGTAGCTATGACATTTGAAGGGTGCTGGGTTCGAATCTCAGTTGTTGATTTCCTTAATCATTCTTGATCAGATTACATTTGAAAGCGATTGAAACCTTTTTTTTTGTCTGAAGCTCCACCCAAATATTATGTGATGAATATATTTTTGGAAATTACAAGTTATCAATAAATTTTTACCGAACATAGTTCATATATTTTTCACAAGAGTGAAACTGTATTTTCTGCGTTTTTTCTGTAGGATGCCGCCGTTGTTGCTGGATGGGATTCCATTGCTGTCATCTCCCTCGTAGATGGTACGCTTTTAGCAGATCATTCGCTGCCATGCCAACCGACGTCAGCCGTTGTTATTGGAGATTTTGATAATGATGGATTAAACGATGCAATCGTCCAATGCACCTCGGGGTAAAAAGCACTATCTATTCTGCCTTTATAGAGATTTATAAATTTTAAAAATTTGAAATAATCCATAAAAAAATGAATGTTTACAATTACCATTATCATTTGTAAGTGAAGTCATCATGTTCAAGGGCAAAGGTGCCTTAAGGCTAAACAGTAATTAACCCCAGTGTGGCGTTGTAGCTTGGTGATTTCATATCCTGGGTTCAAATCCTTTACGGTGGCAGGATTAATTTTACTTGGATGATAATTGTTGATCAGTATATAGAAACCTGCATTGATCATATATGACCCAAGCTCACAAACGGGCCGTACACTCGTCCTCAGGCCAAAATGAGTTTTTGTTATAATGGCATAGAACATATCATTTACTTTAAAATGACAGTTAAATAAACTCAATCGGGTGTCTGGAAGCAAAGTTATGACCGTTTGAATAATTGCCATCTTATCAGCTTTCTTAAATCAAGTTTAGAGAAAAATGCTTTTATTTTCGTTAGGTTTCTATTCATTTTTCATTAGCGCCCATCCGAAAATGGCTAAATTTTACCTCTTACAGTTGGAATTTTAAACTCGAACTTCAGGAATAGTAAGATTAATATTTATACTTAATTTATTACAAAAAAACCCAATTCACACAAAATTCACATTCTCACCCTATTCTGGGTATTGAGGCTTGTTTCTCAATACAGTGCAGTGCGAGTTTACAGCCCATTTGTGAGCTTGGGTCACATATGAGGTTTGCCATCCCAAAACCAGCATCAGTGACCAAAAAAATGAAAATTGACTTTTTAACATTTTCTCCACATTGTAAGCTTAAAAATGATGGGTCATTTGCTGCAATCAACGTACTATTGCCAAAGTATTGAGTAAAAGTATTACAGCTTCTCTGTATTAAAGTATACAATACTGCCTCATTCTAAGATAATTACTCAGTTTTTTTCATATAGCAACAGTATGCTGGTTGTGGGCATGGCATGCCTCATATTATTTTTGGTTGGGGGGAAATTCAGGAAGTTTCTGCTGTTGAAGAGCTATGTTCTAAGGAGGAAGGTTTTGGTTCAAGTATCTCCCTTCCTATAGTTGGGTGGGTGGGGGGAAAATGATGTAGGCGTAAGCGATCTCTTCTTCCTGATCTTCTATCTAAACAATTTTTGGTGTTTAAGAAACAATACAAAAATAAAGCAATATATTTTGATTAAGTATCAATATTTCATCATAGATGATGGCCATTTGTAACAAAAAGTTCAGCTAAGCTTTGAAAATGATTTGAGTTGGTATTTAAAATGCGCTCATAAAATGTTTTTTCATAACATGTGTTTTGATTTGTATATCATGAAAAAAAATTGCTTTTAATACAAATTTGTTGCTGATTCTGCCGTGGGGGGGGCCCATAAATGACTGACAGTGTCGATGGCGATGTTGACAATATTTGTTTGTCTTGAAAGAAGAGCCATTATAATTGCATATTTTAAATATTTATTATTTTAAATACTGTAAATGTCACAGAAATAATCGAAAATATTGGTCTTTGAATATTGTTGCCAATTTATCAGATTTAACATTAATCTAACAAACTGATTATTTATAAGTCTAGATGGTGTTAATTTTAATATAATTTATATTATGAAAGACTTTAATGATTTAGATGAACAGTACTTATGTTGTTAAAATGAATGCAGTCAAAAAATGAATAAATAAATGAATGTTTGAAGAAATGAGTACAGAATTCTTTAGAATGCACACAAGCCTTATGCACACAAGACCAATAGATTCAACATTTTTATGAAAGGTGGTACTTCAATCAATCAGTCAATCTAATTCCAATCATGGAATTCATATAGCGCCATTAAAGCTTAAAGGTGCTTGGACAGGATGCCAGCTGATTGGGAAGTGACGTGGGGGAGAATTCCACATATGGATGTGTCTGATGTGTGCTGATGGATCAATTGACTGATGTAACTGTTGACTAATGGATCAATATACTGATGGATTAATAAACTAATTGATCAATATACCGTACTGGTAGATTGAGAGACTGATGTATTGAGACTGATGGATCAATAGATTGATCAATCAGTAGACTGATAAATCAATAGACTGATGGACCAATAGACAGGTGAATCGATAGGCTGAAGGATCAAAAGCGTTAAAAAAAAAGTTAATAACCTATGGAACAATAGAATAATAAGTAATAGACTAATGCATCAATAGACGGATGGATCAATAGACTGATTGATCACTAGAATGATGGATCAATAGAATGATGGATCAATGGGCTGATTGATCAATATATACTGATGGATCAATAGATTTATATGTTAATAACCTGATGGAATAATAAAATAAGTAATAGACTAATGGATCAATATACTGATGGATTAATAGACTGATGAATCAATAGACTGAATCAATAGACTGAATGAGTAGACTAATGGATAGACTGGTTGATCAATAGCTTGATGGATTAGACTGATGGATTAATAGATTGTTGAATAAATACACTGATAGATCAGTAGACTGATAGATCAATAAATCGGTAGATCAATGGACTGATGGATCAATAGACTAATAGATCAATAGACTGATGGATCAATATCCTGATAAATCAATATACTAATGGATCAATATACTGATGGATCAATATACTAATGGATTATTAGACTGATGGATCAATAGAATAATAGATCAATAGACTGATGGATCTATAGACTAATAGATCAATAGACTGATGGATCAATATACTGATGGATTAATAGACTGATGGATAAATAGACTAATGGATTGATAGACTGATGGATCAATAGACTGATGGATCAACAGACTAATAGATCAATAGACTGATGGATCAATAGCCTGATAAATCAATATACTGATGAATCAATATACTGATGGATCAATAGACTAATAGATCAATAGACTGATGGATCAATAGACTAATGGATTAATAGACTGATGATCAATAGCCTGATAAATCAATATACTAATGGATCAATAGACTGATGGATCAATATATTAATGGATCAATATACTAATGGATCAATATACTAATGGATCAATATACTGATGGATCAATAGACTAATGGATCAATAGCCTGATAAATCAATATACTAATGGATCAATATACTGATGGATCAATAGACTAATAGATCAATAGACTGATGGATCAATAGCCTGATAAATCAATATACTGATGGATCAATATACTAATGGATTAATAGGCTGATGGATCAGTACACTGATAAATCAATAGACTGATTGATCAATAGACTGATAGATCAATAGACTGATGGATGAACGGTCTGATAATCAATAGACTGATAGATCAATATAAAACTATCAAAAACTCTACATCTGTTTTACAGATTAAAAAAGTTTTACTTCTGAAATTAACAAATTATACAATGCTCCATTTTTTGATGGATCAATTTAATTATACTGATGGATCAATGGACTGATATATCAATAGACTGATGGATCAATAGACTAATAAATCAATAAACTGATGGATCAATAGACTAATAGATCAATAGACTGATGGATTAGACTGAAGAATTAATAGATTGATGAATAAATACACTGATAGATCAATAGACTGATGGATCAACAGCCTGATAAATCAATATACTAATGGATCAATATACTGATGGATCAATAGACTAATAGATCAAGAGACTGATGGATCAATAGCCTGATAAATCAATATACTAATGGATTAATATAATATGATGGATCAATATACTAATGGATTAATAGACTGATGGATTAGTACACTGATAAATCAATAGACTGATTGATCAATAGACTGATAGATCAATAGACTGATGGATGAACGGGCTGATAGATCAATAGACTGATAGATCAATATAAAACTATCAAAAACTCTACATCTGTTTTACAGATTTAAAAAGTTTTACTTCTCCTGAAATTATTAACAAATTATATAATGCTCTATTTTTATGACATGTTGACTACTGTGCCACTGTCTGGGGTACTGTTTCAAAGTTTGATATTTTAAAGTACAAAGAGTTCAGAATAGAGTTGCGAGACTAATATTAGGGTGCTGATATTAATATTAACACAAATGCATTATGACTTAGGATGGTTAACTATTGAAAAATATCATACAGTATGCACAGTATTTAGATGTTTACATGATTCTGTACCATCATCAATGTGATATTTTGCAATACACTAGTGGCGCACACAATATTCCAACCAGAATTCACCAAAATGATTTCTTATAATGCCATAGGGCCTAGATGTAAACTTTAAATACACAATTTAATTATATACATATACGTACATTTGGTGCCTTAACAAAATTATATACATATAAGTATCATTTGGCGCCTCAAGTCACCAAATGTACTTTCATTATTTAACTAAATTATATACATATAAGTACATTTGTACAAATGTACTTCCATTATTTTACAAAATTGCATACATATATTTGGCGCCTTGTTAAATAACGAAAGAACATCAGTGAAGCCATTTTTCAGAGGCCGATTCTCAGATATAGAACGAAATTACAACTCATTTGTCTTTGGTGCTAGAAAGCAGTTATAAAATATTATTATCAGTAAAAAGTAAAACTCATTAACTGTATTTCATTTCATGTAGCTTGAATTGCAGTAAATAATACATTTTTGTGGTAATTTCGTAAAAGAATTGTCAATTTTGTTTTTCGTTTTTCTTATTCTCATTTCGACAGTTTTACTTTCTTAAAATACCATCATTTGTACTTATAATGCAACTTTAAATTTTAAGGTTTTACCTCAGCCCCACCATGGCTGGGGCTAAGGTGAGCAGATTTTAAAAACACCGCTACAATGACACTCAGACTGTAAAAAGACCGTTTTCAACAGAATTACATCCCCCGAGTCTGCTTCACGGATCTGCTGCTGGCTGGTTAGACATCGCATCATATCAGCTCCCCCACTTAATCAGTTCCCCAATCAGTCTCCCTCCCCATGTCAACACTCGATGCCACTACTGCTAAATACAGTGAGCTACACTCAGAAAAAGCCAGACTCTTGTTAACAATATCAGAAGTACCTAGGTGGTTGTGCTTCTATTAACAGAAAATCGGCCTGCAGATTTATTTTTGAGCAATATAGCGCGGGCCGGAGTTTGGTCCGCGGACCAGAGGGGTTGAAGTACCGAGGGCATATAGCGAATATATATATTACTGTCCTACTTGTAGGTGAAATTCCCTTTCACAAGACAAACAAACAAACAAACACACATTATATCCCAATATGAGGCTCAGTGGTCGTGAAAAAAAATTCTGCAACAGGGATTGAACCAGGTTCCTGAGATTGGAAGGCAAGCATCTTAACCACCAACTGCTCAAACACTCAGCTGTTTAACATCAACATAGTTATACTTATTGTGTGTGTAGAAACTGGTACTTAGCCCATAGTACTTAAGAATAATTGTAATACATATAAAACCTAAGTGTTCTAAGTACAACTGTTGCTCCTTAGCGTTTATAGAATTGCATAGATTTACTCTTTACCTTTTATTAGGTTATGCGAGTTACGATTTTGAGCAAAAATAGATAACTTTTTCAAACACAGGTATATTTTTTACCCATACATTTTTTTTATAAGAACCAGTAAAATTTTGCCAAGGCTCTGATATTTTTTGGTCAATTTCAGGCTCAAAATGTTACACACTTTTAAAATATAGAAAATTATTACTGTATAGCACATACAGTATGTTACAGTATATACAGTATATATAGTATATTACAGTACTGTACTGTATTATAGATGGTATTACATAGTCGCAGCTACTGCACATAAAGTACAGATAAGATTTGTTGGTTTTTCTAGTTTTTACAAAATAAAAACACCTTGACATTCTACCTTAGTCTCAATTTGTTTTTATTTTATTCTTAATTTTTAAGCAATTTCAGTCTCATTGCTATAAAATGTGTTCTTATTTTTTTTTTTTAAGTGTAGGTGATAGAAGACCAACGACAGGAAACAAGGAAACAAAATCATTTGGTCTAATCATAAACTTGTGGTCTGGTTGAGATTAAAGGTAAAGAGGAGATATCCATCAAATGTTTCCAACAGCAATGTTGTTTTCCGGTATTTTGCCTTTTAATATATATATATATATATATATATATATATATATACATATATAT